ACAAAGGTAAAGTTTAGTGGCACGAGCCGTGTTTTAATTCCACGCGTACCGATCCGGTCGGAAAATAGACGAAAAATAATCCTTTTAAAGATCAAACCTTTTCTCTGCTGGCATCGCAAAGCTACGTGGTATCATTCTCAAAGCATTAGCAGCCGTTAAGGGGGGCTATCTTCAAAACAATGCCGCTTTACGCTGTTCCTGTTGATCCTAGCGGCAATTGTGCTACATCAGAAGCAGGGTGATTGGTAAGCAAACAAACAGATACGATTTTAGATGAAATTTTTGATCTACCCGAAGTAAACAAAACCAGCGCTCCTTTCCACATCCTTTTATAAAATGGCTTTTCAAAGATATGAAGTCTTTTACCTCAGACTCAGGTACAGCTGCGGTCATCTGAAGGGTATGATGTTATGACGTCCTCTTTCTCTTCGCTTAGACTTTACGAAATCGATACTTATAAAACCACTTTCAAAGAAATACCCGTAGACGGGTACTTCGTTGATACAAGCAAATCTCAGCCGACCAGTCAGGTTCTGTCTTATAATTTATGTGAATTGTGACTAGATAGCACACATTAAAAGTAGAGGCTCCATGGTCGTTTTCATTGAATGAAAATAAGCCTCAGCGTTTCATCAAAACTGGGCAGCTAGCTTGCGATAAAGGCTGAGGCTCACAATAAGCTACCATTCCTCGGTGTGTTTGCGCCCCGCAGGTACAACAGCACTCGAGACCATGGTATTCAAGGGGGCAATTAACACGCGCACCGAGCCCTGTCTTACCATGGTAACCACTCACTCTTTTACAACCTCAGATGCATGCGAAATCGAAGAGTGAAAACCTATTGCCGTGGACTGAAATCAAAACGACGAAAGCCCACACTTATGGTACCTGTTCATATCAAGCGGATGTTTACAAACGTTTAGGAACTTAAGAGGCAGTCTAGAAAAGCCAAAATCGAAGGCATTTTTAAAATGACGAGCAGGTAACATATTCTAGAAAGATGTTTCAGACAGCCCTTTTTTATTTACGACAGCTGGGAACTGACGTCGGGTACAGATTCAAATAGTCCATATGGCAACTGATCAGGAGACCAAAAGACTTTCCGTCTTGAGGAGAGGCCTTATCTACTGTCCATAAGATGTGGTAGAATTCTTTTAAAACTACTCAGTCCAAAACTTTTGTTGGGCAGCTGAAAGAAAGTTGGCTTGAGCAGACCAAACCAGTGGAATTAGGAACTCGCTGACTTTGATGGCAGCACGTCGTGTGACGTCAAGGGTCGCATTTGTCCTGGTTTCTGTATTCGACCTGTTACTCCAACATTAAGCCTTACCTAAACCTAAACATAAATTTAACCTCATCTGAGCCTCAATCCTTACCTTTACCTTAATCACCGTGGAATTTATTGCAAGCCCAGCTTTATTTTGGGGGATTCCCCTTCTCGTGTCTTATTACAATTTGGCTTATGGAACCGTCGCGAATTGAGGCAAAGGTTCGCATCCCAGGTATGTGTATAGATTGAGAAGAACGAGCC